ATGATTTTTCATTATTTAATCCTCTATTGTTTAAATTGTTGTAGATAAATCATGTTTATATACAAAAACGATCAGTTATCTATTTAAAATTTAAGGGTATAAGTGAAAGTAGGTAGGTGTGTGGATTCAAGAATATTAGTTACTCAATATTCATATTCTCAAGATGCATCTAACAGTTTTTAAATATATTCCCTCTAAAATACAAGTAACGCGCGTCCGAGGACTCGCTTAGCTCTTTCTCGTAGAAATGCATTTTCTTCACATTTACTGGAAAAACAAATGTTATCTTCGAAAAATTGACTTTCCATGTTTTTTTGACCTTTGACCGCTCTTCACTCCCTCCCCGTCCGCATGGTCACCCAGTAGCCCTCAGATTCGAAAACGTCGCATCGAAAAACCTATAGAAATATCTTTTCCTGAAAATTGGTTTTCGATGTTTGTTTGACCCTGAGGACACAAGAATTCAGACAATTTATGTTTACTAGACTCTACTCTACGAGAAAGAGAATAAACAGTACAACGATATTGTTCATAATCGAAAGCATTTTTCTGATGTTGTGCCCGTCTGTTTATACCAAATGGATTCTGATATTGAAGAATGTCTTTTCATATGTTTTAAATTTCGTGTCATCTATTATTATGTAGATATTGTCAACCATCTGATACTTGTCTCTTTTAATTTGAGTCAAATCTAGATTATAGTAGTTACTAGTTGATACTTATTCTGTAAATTTGACTATCTGCTGTTTGTCAATGGTTTATTGATATCGAAAGTTATCAATTTTTTTATATTCTTTTCATTTAATTGACTATTTCTGATGAAGAGAGTATTTACCATGTATTAATTTCTTGAGGGTGTGTCAATGTAATATTCACACCCACACCGACCCAGCCTTATTAAACGATCGAAGTCAAGATTAAAAACAATTTATTTCAAAGAATAAAAAGGAAATAAAATATGGAGAAATGAGGATACTAAATAATGTTGTTGTTTCACACTCTAAATGGACAAAAAAAATTAATGAATATGTACAAAGATATCATGGAATAATGAAGAATTAGTTCAATCAATTTTTCTTAGAGTTTATTAAATTTTCGTACACGAGCTCCACTATTTAGACTGACATATAAATTAAGTTTTGAATCCAGTTTAACATCATATGGAGCAGACAAAGTAGTACCACCAGCACCATTTCCTGCAATGGTAATACCTGTTGTATTGCCATTGCAGAACAATTGGACGCGATTATTTGAGCGATCAGCCACATATAAATTATTCCATGGATCTAGCGCTATTCCCATTGGAGAACTTAATTGAGTTGAGCTGTTTCCTGGACTTCCAGGAGTACCTGCTACGACCGTAGCATTGTGATCACCAATGTGCCATTTCAATACTGTTGAAGTGCTGGTAGCAGAATTGGCAATATATAAATCTTGATTTAGTGCATCATATACTAGACCGGCCGGTGATGCTAATTTGCTTGTTATATTACCTAATAATAAAAATGAAGAGAAAAAATTTATTACATGACATCCATCGAATTTGGATATTAATATTTTAAAATAATGATTTACTATAGATATATTAGAAATGTTAACTATGCACTTTGTCGAAAGTTCTAAAAAGTTCTTTTGAAATCTGGATTAATGTAGAAACGGTATTGGGTTGAATCGATGACTCGTCAATATGAAACAACTGCCCGAGAATTTTCAAGTTCTTGTTTGTTTTATAGTTTCTTACATTTCTTATCGGAAGTGTCATTTGAGTACAAGAAAAATTGTTACAGATCATTTCGAACAATTTGTTTTGGATTTATGTAACCTTTCAGTATTTCATCATCTACTCTGTTTAAATTGCACTTATTCCTTACCGTTTAAAATATAATTATTTCCATAGTATGGTAGATATATTTTTTACTGTTTTGCTTACCTGCTGAGCTTGTATTACCAGCAAGGAGAATACCTGTTGTTGCACCTGAAGCCCATTTAGTTACACGCTGATTTTGATACTCTGCTACGTATACATTCGAACTCGAATCTACCCATATGCCATATGGATTATATATTTGATTGAACGAAGTTCCAAAAGTGGCATTCCCAGCTACTATCGTACCGGTGGAAGCGCCATTTGGCCAAAGCATCACACGATTGTTATAAGTATCAGCGACGTAGAGGTTTTGACTCGAGTCAACAAAAATATAACGAATACCTGTAGAAAATAAATCCAAGGTAGTGCCTGATACATTCGTCGTACCAGCTATGACAGTACCAATGGTAACACCTGGTGCATATTTCAATACACGATAATTACCACTATCAGCAACATATAAATTATCACTTGAATCAAAGAATATTCCAGTTGACGAATTTAACTGATTCAAACCTGGGCCTGATGTACCAGTACCTGCACGCGATGAAGCGGTTGTATTCCAGTACATACTATTATTGCCTGAAAAATGAAGGAAACAAAACAAAAAGATCTATATCTAGTCAAAATTGATTCTGTATGTATACGTACAAGGGTTTAGCAACCCGTTTGCAGTGGTGACTAGACAAAAGAGAAAGAAAAAGTAAAGTATATGCAAAGTTTTCATGAAGAAAAAGTATTTGAACAAATCTTGACTAAAAGTTGAATAGTCTCAACTGATTAATAACTGTCTATGTGAGTTTTATGTTAACTTTATAACATTAGAAATGAATACGTGAGTTATTTTGACTGGTATTGGTATGCTTTGAAAACTATATGGATACAAAGCTTAGAGGCTCGTTTGAAACAGTTGGAGATGTGCTATACCGCTTTACAAAGCTTGACAACCTCGTTGAAGATTTTTGTATATAGGACGATGTACATCTCTTAATCGTCAGATCAAATAAAAAAAAGTTCATACATAAATAGAGTTCCTGCATCAAGAAGAAAACAGAACATATATTATTTCCTTGGTTATAAAACCGATTGAACTGATCTGTAGTGGTTTTTTGTAAAGAACCGTCATTAGTTTATGTCATTTTTCGAGTTATAAGTTGACAATATGCTTAAATTTCGTAAAATCAAAGAATAATACAAAGAGATGATTTATATTCAAATTCATTCTCAAAGAAACGTTTTCAAACAATTAATATCTGTGAAAGAAAGCCGATATATCATATTATCCTATCTATGCAAGTACTAAAGAATACATCACTCTCAGTCTTCGCCTGAGATTACGTTAGTAACTCTTTTCTTCATTTTCTTATTGAAAGCAGTTACTCAACTATTCCTTTAAGGATACATTTTGAATATTCTCACCTGTTGTCGGCGCTGCTACAGTTGTGGCTGCTTCAGTTGTTGCTGGTGCCGCTGTAGCTGCTTCAGTTGTTGCTGGTGCTGGTGCTGCTGTAGCTGCTGCTGTTGCTGGTACCGCTGTAGCTGCTGCTGTTGCTGGTGCCGCTGTAGCTGCTGCTGTTGCTGGTGCCGCTGTTGCTGCTGCTGTAGCTCCTACAGTTGCTGCTGCAGTTGCTCCTACAGTTGCTCCTACAGTTACTGCTGCTGCAGTTGCTCCTACAGTTGCTGCTGCTGCTGCGGTTGCTCCTGCTGCAGTTGCTGCCACTGTAGTAGTTGATGCTGTTGTTCCATTGGCTACTATTGATGCTACGAAACGTACAATAAATAACTTGATTAGATGGTAGCTGAGAAATGTAATGTTAAATAATGCAGCCACAATAAATTTCTTTAAACTATTTCTAGATAAAATGAATTTCCTCCCTGTATGATATCACAAAATCAATTTTTATCATCTACAATTCAAACTAATCTTGAGGGTGAGAGTGTGAGTTAGTATTACATGAACCTTACTCTGAGACACTGCTTATTCAATGTTACGACTGTTGTTTGTATTACTTACCGGTTGTTGTTGTGTTTGATTTAACAGTATTGCCCAATAAAATAGTAGGCACGACAATCGCTATAGCCACAACAACTACAACAATTATCACCGAAATGAGAATCATAACCATTTTCAGTATCGTAAATCCTCCACTGAAATGTAAAGAATATAATAAAAAGAACTGTATTGCAAATAACAAATACGAACCTTGCTGCACTGCTGGAAGCAATTGATGGCAAACTATTCATGTTCAATTGAACATTAGCTGGTTGAGAGGTTGACTAAACATCATATACATAAATTTCAACATTATTTTAGTTTTCAATTGAAATTGAATCATCTTGTATTCATATTTAACTTTATTTCCAGAGATTCTTGAGGGTGTGGATGAGTGTCTTCGTCACCCAGGCTCAGACCCACACTTTTTACAGTGTATTATTTCATAACCTATTATATGCTCTCAGATACTGATATATATTGAGGCAGTTCCCACTTAACAACGGTGAAAGATGACGTCTTATTTTTCTCTTCTATTCTTCCAATTGGTTTCTATGTCGCTTAATGCATTCTTTTTTGTTTTTTATTCTTTTCATCAGTTGACTCTTAAGTATAAATGTTTATTTTTTTAAAAGTATGTAAAGGAGTATTGCTCGTTAGATGAGAAAAGCATTCCAATGTTTTTTTTTGGTGTGAGAGCACAAAAAAGTGTTGACAACAACTAACAAAAGAAATGTATAAATTTCTCTTGTGTGGTTTTTTAATTTAACTATTAAAAAATGGTGCTTCTTAATTGAAAAAATTCGTTAAAGATACGATTATACATTTAAAATTACAAAGAGACTAATCTGCAAAATCTATACTAAATATTTATTCTGTGTATGTAGAAATTTGATATTCAATAAACTATTATTATAATGTGAAAGAAAAATTGATTTGTTGCAGTGAAACAATAGTTATGAATGAAAACAAAAGAATTGAGAAGAAATATTTTGTTTTTAACCGATCATACGATTAGCTGTCTATGGCAGCTAATAAACTGAAGAAAGTAAAATGTTTTTGTAAAAATTGTTCTAAAGCATTAGCGATTAGGTAATAGCACCACACTGGGAAAGAATGAGTCATACGAAATTCTTATACTGTTTTGTATGTGATGTTTTCTTATCTATATTCTCTTTAATATAGTTAAGTCTTATTTAACGTAAAATTGTCTCTGAATATTCTGTTTCAAATAAAACATTAATTAGCTTACTGGATTGATCGTTTTCGTTATCGATGATGGTTGAATAACTTCCACATCCCAATTACTTAGTGCCTAAATAAAAGTAGAATTATTATTATGAACAATACCAATCATATACTGTAGGTACAGGCATGGTCACTTGTCTGTCGATAGTGCGGAACACGTCTACTGAATGGCAGCGTTGACGAAAAGTGTCTTTTGTATTGATTGCAAAACAAAAAACAACTTAATATTTATATACAAATGAAGCGTTTTTTCTTCGTTTTGTTCTGCTCAAAAAAAAATAAATTCCTTTGTTTATATTGTAATATACTGTTTTTTTTCACCTGTATATGTTTTATCCACTTTAAAATTTCTCAGTTTGTCCGTAGATTGCATCGCAACAGTTGAAAATGTTTCGTATTTTTTTCATAAACGTGACTTGAGTTAATTGATGATGCAAAAATAACGCCTGACAATTTCAAGTAGCAACGTTGTTATTCATACGCATCGTTTTTTTCTCTTTTTGGTATTTGTGCGCGAAGTACATATGATTAAACTGAGAACATTGCATAATTATTTACTTCTATTCAATTTTATTAAAACAGTAATTATAGCACTAATACAGATAGTTACCGTATTGCTAGTGTAAATATTTTTGTCAACAGACAGTTATCGGCATGCACGAAATCAAAACGCACGTTCTCAGTTCGAGTTCGGCTTTTTTTCTGAATATTATCAACATTTTTTAAACTACGTGTGAGTCTGTACAACAGCCTATTATATCATTTCTTTTAGTTTTTGTATACTATTTTTTGAGTAATTGAATAGGAATGAAACCAGCACCGAACACGAATCCGAATGATTCACGGCATAAGTAACGCACTTCCGTGGGCTTTCAGGAGTACAATATGTACAAGATGATTCACTTCTTTTTCTTCATTTTCTTCAGTTTATTGTATTTATAGAAAACTTCACAAGTGTTTTATTTCTATATGACTAGATAAAGTATTGGAGAAAGTATCATCTCGGAACGGTCGGTTACGAAAGCCCAGTGTTTTTTTAAGTTTTACTGGGCTTTCGTATCGCCTTTTTGACAGGGCTTTCGTAATCAAAAATTAATGCACTTTTTTATCGATTTTACAGGGCTTACGTATCAGTTTTTACAGGGCTTTCGTATCACAAATACACAGACTTTCGTATGCATTGACAAAGTGTACCTATACATTCTACAGGACCTTCGTATCGTGTTTTGCAGGGTCTTCGTACTGCTCGTACAGGGTTATCGTAAAGCCAAAATTGTTAATATTATCTCAGATTAAATACTATTAATAGAGTTTTCGTATTGATGTAAGTATTTTATCAAAGTAACCATGAACAAAGTTTAAGAGTAGCAAGAAAGAACCAGAATATAAATGAAGGGTGGGTGTGGGTATGTGAGAAAAAAATACTCACACCTACACCCACCCACACCGTCACCCAAAATGTATTTGTTTACCAACGGTTTATCTGTTGCTCCATTGTTTATTATTATGTAATCCTCTATTGAGATTAGAAAATAACAATGACATCTATGGGGATATATGAATGATAAATTTACCAGACAGTAAAAGATATTCAGATCATTACTAATAGTAGATGTTTCGAATGGATCGTACTTACTAACTAAACATATATACATATATATATATATATATACTCTCAAGAGTATTCGCGACGAATACTTTGTTTTCTTATGGAGTATTAGTCTTTTAGCTTACGTATCAATACAATAAAAAATTCGTTACGAATGCCCTGTTAAAACCGATACGAAAGCTCTGTTAGATTCCGGTATAAAAGCCCCGTTAAAACTCGATACGAAAGCCCTGTTAAAATCGATACGAAAGCCCAGTTAAACTTAGGTACGAAAGCCCTGTTGAAAAAAAATGACAGGGCTTTCGGGTTACGAAAGCCCGGTATATCCACCGTTCCGAGATGATATTTCCCCAAAGTATTGATCATTCGATCCAAGTGTATGGTTTTTATTTGATGTATTTCGTATCCTGATAAAAAATAAGGAATACATTTCGAGACTGTTTTTTACAATTAATTCGAGTAATTATAAGGTGTTAGACCAATAAACATTACTCTATCAATCAATTAGTTTTTCATCCTATTTATTTTCAATTTGATTGAAAATTTAGTGAATTTCTAATTAATTTTTTCGATACGAATTCAGTTATTTGCTTTTCTCGAGTAAACTATAGTTGCCTAATCACTTCAATCTTTCTCATTAATCTATAACTGTACAGAGCACTAATTGCTCTATCGATTCATGTGATTTTAGTCTGAGTGAATTATACATGTGCAAAAGGTTTTTTTTTGGTTTGTTGTATAAATTTTTGTATTTTTCTATTAAAATACGAAATAAATCAAATAAAAGCCATCGTGAGGGTATGGGTGTAGGCATCAGAGAAATATAACATCGACACTCACATTCTGAAGATGGATCTAGCCAATAAGTTTGTTTTCTTTCAGCATTTCTAGTCTTTTCAGTTAATTTATCAAGTTCAATCGAGTTTTCGGCATATGTCACACATACGTCATGATATTTTAAATGGGTACAAATCAAATGACCAGCTTTTTATTCAGAATGATCAGTCAAAACGATCAACGTAGTTTTATTGTAAATTATCAGTAAACAATTTAAACTGGGTGTGGTTGTGAGTTTGGGTGTGGGTGGATAAGAGATGGTCATTCACATCCACAG